ACTGACACCAAAAAAGGATGGTAGCTGGAATATATGTGTTTATAGTCGCGCCACCAGCAAAATCACCCTGGGATACAGGTTTTCAATTCCATGATTGAATGACATGCTAGATCAGTTATGTAGTGTAACAATTTTTCTGAAGATTGACTTAAAGAATGAGTACTATTAGATTCAGATTTGACCAGAGGATCAGTGGAAAATGGATTTCAAGACAAAGGATGGATTGCAGGAGTAGTTAGTCATATCATTTGGGTTAACAAATGCACTAAGCACATTCATGAGGTTGATGAATTAGGTTTTGTGACCTTTCATAAATAAATTTGTTGTGGTTTATTTTGATGATATCCTTGTGTTCAATTACAATAAAACAAATCATATCGAGCACTTAAGGAGTGTTCTAGAGGTGTTGCTAAAATCTAGTTGTATGTGAATCTGAAAAAGTGTAGCTTCATGACCAGTAAGCTGTTATTCTTGGGTTTTGTAGTGGGAGCCGATAGAGTTGAAGTTGATGAGAAAGTGAGGGAAATTCGTGATTGGCCCCTGCCTTAGACAGTTAGTGATGTGCAGAGTTTTCATAGCTTGACTATTTTTTTATGAGATTTTTTTTTTAATTTCAATAGTATTGTGGCACCAATCACCGAATGTTTAAGAGGGGTGAGGAAGAAGAAAAGAGTTTTGCCTTAATAAAAGAGAGGTTATGCAATGCTCCATTGCTTGCTTTAATCAACTTTGATAAGTTGTTTGAGGTTGAATGTGATGTTTGTGGAGTGGGTATTGGAGGAGTTCTTTCCTAGGAGAAACATCCTTTAGCCTTTTTCAGTGAGAAGTTAAATGAAACTCGCTTAAAGTACCTATGATAAAGAACTCTATATTGTGGTAAGGGCTTTGAAAATTTAGGAGCATTATTTGATTAATAGAGATTTTGTCTTACATTTAGATCATGAAGTCTTAAAGTCTCTAAATAGTTAGAAAAATGTCGGTATGAGTATCATGGCCAAGTGGATTACATTCCTTTGGAAGTCCAGTTTTAGTCTGAAGCACAAAGCTGAAGTTTAGAACAAAGTAGCTAATGCATTGAGTAGGCGAGTTGCCAACGAGGAATGAATTATGTTTTTATGAATAGATATTCAAAGATGACATGCTTTATACATTGTAAGAAGACTATGGATGCGATTAATGTGGCTAAGCTATTTTTCATGGAGATCAACGAGGAATGAGTTATGTTTTTGTGAATAGATATTCAAAGATGACACGCTTTATACATTGTAAGAAGACTACGGATGCGATTAATGTGGCTAAGCTATTTTTCATGGAGATAATGAGGTTGCGTGGTGTTCTAAAATTCATCATGTCTGGTAGAGGTACTAGGTTCCTAAGTCACTTTTGTCTTACTTTGTGAGATATTTAATTTCTTTTTAAAGCGGGTGTTTAGCCTTGCGTTTTAACCGGAGTTTTAATTGTTTCTATTTTTTTCTTCAAATTATTTTATTTTTGTGTTTTTGAATTTTTTTGATGTGGTGATGTCAAAAATGAATTTTTAAAAAGAAAAAAACATTATTTTGATATATTTTCAAGCGACACTTTAAAAAATAACTACTACCACTGTCTTAAACACCCCCGAAGTTTAGTAGTATTGTTCATCCACAAATTGATAGCCAAACAAAGTCTCTATACAGAACTTTGAGCAATCTAATTCGTAGCATTTGTGGAGACAAGCCTAAACAATGGGATGCTGCATTTGTGGTGCAATTTACTTACAACAGTTCCAAACATAGTGCTATTGGCAAGACATCATTTAAGCGTGTACGTGAAACCTCCAAATCATGTATTCGGTCTACATGCACTATCTAAAGCTGCAACAGCTTTTGATA